TAGATACATACATAGAATGAGTGGACATTGCTTTCGCTTTTCCTGCAGTTGGCTGTGGAGTGGGTACATTAGGAATTCTGGGAAGAGCCAAATGCAGCAGTGGGGTCTGTGTCCCAGCACCACTTGGCAGAAATACCCATTTGGTGTGCACAGTTCCTGCCACTTCCCCATGGATCCAGTCCCTGGGAGCTATTCCTGCCAAGGATAGTGTCCTGGTACAATGAGGAAGGATCCAAGATGTAACATTACTGGAATGCTTTTGGGATGACTGGGTAGGAAGAGGCTACTCAAGTATGCAGAAGCCGCTGTGGTTTGTCTCCCAGGCCTGGGAAGGAGACAGACTGCTTCTATTTGTGCTAACTTGGCTTTTTTGGCTTTTGGAGGAAGCGGGAGAAGGACCCGACGCGGCCGGGGTGAGCAGTGACACGGGGGCTGTCGGGGGGCAGGGGGGGCTGGCAGGGGCTTCTCTGGGTCCTGGCAGGGTCACAGTTGAAGCTGTGGGGCTGCCCCCCTGTCTGTAAGGGCTTGGCTGGTTTAGGCAGGACAGAGCCACCTCCACCGGCCTGTCCTGATGACTTTGTGGATGGATGGATGCACGGACGGATGTCTCTCTTGTTCCCCCATGTGCTGCCTGTGCTCTCTGGAGCAGGCATGTGTCCATCCTGCCTGCCAAGCAGAGCACGGTGCTGGCAGGTGAGCCCCTGATAGGAAGAGGAGCCCCGTGCCACAGAGCCTGGCAGTGCCACCCTCCCTGCAGGGACAGTCCCTCCTGGAAGAGCTACCTTCAGCCCCAGCCCAAGCCCAAATGCCCTGCTCTGGGGGCAAAACCTACAGAAGTATTGAACAGCCTCCTGGGGCTGCCTCGAGTGACAATGGTGGAGCCTTTCCCAGGATCCTGGGATCCTGGGACATGGTGGAGCCTTTCCCAGGATCATGGTGGCAGTGCCCTTCCATGTCCTGGCCACAGTGGTGGTCCCCTGCCAGCTCAGCCCTCTGGCAGTGGTGCCTGGTGAGATGTGTGGGGATGTCTGGCAGTGGGCATGGAAAGGTGACCGCGGTGGGACACGTGCCATAGAGGTGAGACTGCCTTCCCAGCCCTGGGCATTGAAAGGAGGAGAAAAGGGACTACTAATACAAAGCTTGCGCTGTGCTTCAGTGCCCCCGGCCCCGCTGAGCTGGCCCAGGAACACCAGTGACACGGGGGACAGGGTGAGGAGCTGCAGCTGGTGCCAAGCCTGGGAGCGGTGCCAGAGCCCGCTGAGGAATGAGTGAGGGGAGATGGAAGGAGGCAGCTGGAGCCAGTGCTGGGACTCATCTGCCTGTGACCTGCTGCCAGGGCTGTGGCGGAGCTGTGATGGTGCCACGGCAGAGCTGTGATGGTGCCACGGCAGAGCTGTGATGGTGCCGCGGCAGAGCTGTGATGGTGCCATGGCAGAGCTGTGCTGTGGCCATGGCAGAGCTGTGCCCACCTGCAGGGAGTTGGCCCCGTGCAGGGTGCCAGGCTGGGCATGGGCAGCACCATCCCTGCAGAATGTGGAGCTGACCCCAGCCTGGGATGGGCAGTGGGCAGGAGCAATGCCACGGGCAAGCCCGATGCCAGTGCAGTGTGGGTGGCACCCACCGAGGGTCCTGTGGGAGTAGGACTGAGCCCGGGCATCGCTGGAGACCCGCTTGCCCTCGCTTATTCCGAGCTGTGCCTGCAAGAGGGATCCTGGGCTGTGAGCGGAGGGCTGGCACAAATGCTCGTGAAGGGACCTTTAATTGTGGCCTTTGTGAACAAATGATGTTTGTGGAAGGCAGATAAGGAGCTGTGAATAGCTGGAGTGAATGGCTCAGTCATATTTGATGGCCCGGGGTAGTTTTCCCTGTGTTGTTCCCCCTGCTGGGGTCTCTCCTGCAGGCTGGCCCTGCGTGCCCCTGCTCTGTGCTGAGGGTGCTCGCCGTGCTCGGCACGGTGAGCCTGGGTGCCCATGGTGAGCCTGGGTGCCCATGGTGAGCCTGGGTGCCCATGGTGAGCCTGTGGGTGCCCATGGTGAGCCTGGCTGCCAGCTGTGCCCAAGGGGAGCCTGGCTGCCTCCTGTGCCCGCAGCGGGGCCAGCAGCACCTGAGCATGGGGGAAGCCGTGGCGGGGACATCCAGGGATGACACCATGGCTGGGTATCCCTTGTGCCTCGGAGGGGAGAGCCAGTCAGCTTGGGCAGCACTGGAGTGACAATCCGAACCGTCCATTTTTCAGGGTCCTACATGTGCCTTTGACAGCTCCAAGTGCCTTTCTCCCATTCCAGAGTGTCTCTCTCCCCTCGCCCCTTCACGCTGCCTGGGAATGGGAGCAGGCGGCGCGTTCCAGGCAGGAAGGAAAGCCTGGAGCTGTTTAAAACTCGCAATCTTCAGGGAATTTCAATCGCGTCCAAGCCTGTTCACAACCAACTGAATAACGGTGCAGGGTTTGAATGCTGGCCCGCCTCCGCCGCTGCCTCCTCCTCCTCCCTCCGCCCGCCGGCCGCTCCTGCCCGCACTGGGCTCTGCCCGGCTCCGCTGCCGCGGGCGCTGCCATGGGGGTGCCGGGGGGGCCCCTCCCCGCCGCCGGGGGCAGCGCCGCGATCTAGGGGGGCTCTGCCAGCCCTTCGCCCGCCCATCATGCCATTGCTGGATTTTTTCTGGTCTTGCTTCAAAAGAGCCAAGGTAAGGGACCGCTGCTCGGTGGTGTCCGCCGCTGGCACCCTCCAATTTCAGGAGAAGCCTCTGGAAGGGGCGACGGGGACGCGTCGCCGGCGGCGCTCGGTTTGCTCACGGTGTCAGCGTCTGCTCTGGGGGGTGTTTTGCCCGTGCCCCACGTGCACGTGAGAGGTTAATTTTGGCTGGGCCGCATGTGGGTGTGCTGGTCCCTGTCCCTGTGCTTGCCCGCTGCTGTCACTGGGTCACCCCGTCCGTGCACCAGCAGCCCCGGGTGGGCGGGGGGCTGTGCCCGGTGACAGCGGCGGTGGGCTCGGGGGCTGCCTGTGTCTGGGTGTGCTTTTGGCCCTCCGAGGTGGTCCTGCCATGCTCGGGTGGTGTGGCTGGGCCAGGACACCCCTTCGAACTCAGAGGCTCGGGTTGCTCCCGGCTGTGGGAGCGCGGCTGCCTTGGCCGACCCGCAGGGCCGGGGTGGCTGTGAGCGACATGACAAAGGAGCAGCGAGGCCGGGGGCCCCCAGTTTTTAATTTCCTGCGGCAGCGGCTCTCGTGGCATCTGGGATTTTTCATTGGGCTTTAATTCGTCATCTGTCGCCTTAATAAAGAGCAAATCTCCCTGCCTGCCTCTGATCACTGTATTGGTTTATTGTGTCCCAGCCCACGCAGTGTGGTGGGAGGTGAGCTGGGAAGATTGTAGAAATATGGTTAGTGTGGATTTTGGGAGCTTCAGATTGGGAAAAGCATAAAATCTCTCTACAGACAGAGCTGTACACCAGGCTGGGCCGGGCGAGTGGAGCTGCTGCGGTGAAATGGATGTGGAATGCACACTGTCCCCCGGGCTTTCAGGGCAATGCTTAAAATAGTTGAGTCTAAAAATGACATTTGTGAAATTCATTAGTAATATTAGTGGCTGTCTTGTCCCTGCTGTCTCCAGAGAGCTCAGCTGTCCTCGTTAACCCTGCTCGTCCCTGCCTGCTGCGTGTTGGCATTGCCATCGTACTCGTGGTGGCACAGAGACGGACACTGGCTCCTGCATCCGCCTTGCCCAGCTGCAGATCCCAAGGCCTCCAGCCCAGCCCATGCTGGCTCCGGTGCCTGGGGGCTTCAGTGATGTTGGAAGCAGCCGGTAGACCCCTGGATTCAGCGTGTCACCTCAGCCCGACGTGGGGTCTGGTGGCCCAGCTGGCCAGGGCACCACCTTCCTGGGTGCCCTTGGTGCACACTGATGGCCTCGTGTGGGGCTGAGGCTTCTGCTTCAGTCTGGCCCCTCTCCCTCCGTGCTGGTGTTGCTCAGCTGCTCTGCTCACCACGAACAGCCGAGGAATTTCTTGAAGAGGGAGAAACGTGCTGGGCTCTGTCTGTGGAATTAAAGCTTTCCAGGTTAAATGAGGTGGAGCCGTGGCTGGTGGAAGATTTCGTGGGAAAAGGAAGGTGTGGGAACAGACTGGGCAATGCCAAAGGAGCTGGAGGAGCCCAGTGCCCACCCCTGCTGACATGGGCTCTCTGTGAGGTCGCAGTGATGTCTCCAGCCCCACTGATGGCACCTCTTGGGCAGGCACTGCTGAGGGAAGCCCAGCAGCAGGGACATGGTTAAACCCATCTCTTCTGGGTCATTCCCAGCCCTCCTGCCCCGGCAGGAAGAGGGGTCCCGGGGGTCCGTGGGAAAGGCCGGCTCAGCAGCGCTCAGCATTCCTGCAGGGATCCTGCAGGGATCCTGTGGTCCCTCCGGCCCGTCCGCAGGGCTGTGGCAGTGCTCCAGGGCTCATCTGCACCCCGAGCGGGCTGGGGGGGTCCCGGGCTCTGGGCTTGCCTCGGGACCGGGGTGTGGGGGACCCTCAGCTCCACCTCTGCAAATTGCCACCATCTCCTAAGTGCTGCTGAGGCTCCACTGCTGTGAATCCCATTGCTCTTGGCTTTCCTTGGGAGCCGGGGTGGTGGGTGGTGCTGGGCACACTGTGTTTGCCCAGCACTCAGGGTTGTGAGTGGTGCTGGTGTTTGAAACCCAGTGGGGGTGATGCCCTGGGGAGAAGCCTTTGCCAGAACTGTGCTTCTCCTCAGAGCCAGAGCAGCCCTTCTGGTCCCAGCTTCTCTCTGGGCAGAGGAGAGGCTGGAGGGGGGACTGAGCCCAGACATGAGGGATAGCAGTCCTTGAGTATGAGAATCAAATCTATAACAAAATTATTTCTGTTCTTTTTTTCTTTCTTTTCACAGAGTTTCACATTTCTAGAAGATAAGAAAGATGCAGGTAAGCTACGGCAATGTTTTTTGGGACAGGAATATTGTTGCTGTGGGATGGGCAGGGGTCATGGGAAGAGGACAGTCCCCTTGCTGGGTTCGTGGGTTCATCTGTCAGCAGTGTGATTTTGCCCCCAGACTGTTGTTTTCAGAGGGATATATTTGCCAAAGGGCCTTGGTTCCTTTTTGATTCCTCTCCTTGTGGTGAACAGCTTTGTGCTCTGCAGATAAACTCACCGGGAGCTTCACAGCCTTGGCACTGCTGTGCCCCAGGAAGGAGGGTCTCCCTGGCTCAGAGCCCCTTGGCTTTGTGGGACTGAGGTGTCTCACGTGTGACCGTGGGGCAGGAGGGACTCGTGGTGCAGCTCCAGGCTGATCCATGGGGATTGTGTGCAGCTCCACCAAACCTCTGCCAGGGTGGGGGCACAGGCTGGGGGTTGGGGCTGCCCTACCCTGTGGGGCTCGTGGGTGCTGGGGAGGCTGGTGGGAGGAGGAGAAGGAGGGGGTGTGTGCCAGCAGGGCTGGGAACCAGGGTTGGAGATGGGGCTGTGGGCAGGAGGGTCGAGGTCCCGCCTTTTGTCATCCCACTGGTCAGTGCCATGGGGGTCTTTGCACAGTGACACCCCCAGAATCAAACCATTCCATCCTACAGGCAGCCCATGGGCACTGGCTCTGACAGCCCTGGAAGTGGGGGAACCTGGAGCCCAGGGTGGCTCTGCTGCTTTTGGTACAGGGGTCAGGACAGGCCCTGTGGACGGCGGCTCCAGCTCCGGAGACAGGAGGAGAGTGGCTGCCCACACAGTTGGCCAGAGCCTTGGTGCCATGAAAAGGGAAACCTGCCATACAGGGAGCCCATGGGATGTGCTAGGGGGTCTCCAGCCAGTTCCCTGATTGGAGGGCAATGCCCAGGGGCCTCTTGTTTTCATCCAGGTAAGGGTTAGGTGAGCTCTGAGCCCAGCTGGAGAGAGCCTGGGAGCATAGGAGAGCTCTGGGCAACAAAAGGTACTTTGTGAGGGAGCCCCAGAGGTATCCTGGGTGGTCTCTGGCCCTTTCATGGCAGAGATTAGGAACATGAATGTCAAGAGCTTTTTAAAAAGGGTTAAAGAGCCCTGTGGAAAGGAAGGGGCAGGGCTGGATAACATTGTGACTGAGATTTTGGGGGGAAGAACATTTATAGGTGTTTTCCCCTTGGTTAAAACTGCCTGTAGAATCCAGGTCTTTCCTGGTGAAGGCTCAATGACACTCACACCACCCCAGCTGATACCTGCCCATCCCTACTGTCCCTCCCACTGTCCTGCCTGTGGCAGGACCCCCTCTGGCCCACCCTGTGGTCCCCTCCAGCAGCACCCCCAGCTGGGTGGGACACAGTGCCCCTGCACAGTCCCAGCAGGGTCAGGTTTCCATGGATTTCCTAACCCTCTGCTTCCTCTCCAGCATTCACTTCCCATGTATTGTTCTGGAAGAGCAGAAAGGAAAGGCTCACAGACTGGCCATGCACATGAAAACTGCATCCTCAGAATAAATTCCTGCCAATAGCAGCACCAGGACCCTCCAAAAGGGATTGGGAGGTGGTCTGCAGATGTCACTGAGCAGTGACTCCTCTCGCTGCCAAGGGACAGGGATGGAGCTGGTGGCTCCTGGCAGCACAGCCAGGCAGTGGTGACATTGCAGCATTTCAGGGTGGGCTCCTCTGGCTGGTCGTGGTGAACTAATGGGGAAAAGCAGCTCAAGGGACTCGGCTGAACTTTTGCCCCTGCATGAAATAATAAGGTTGTATTTACCCAGCATCTGGATTGCTGAAAATAACCCTCTAAATTTAGCTGTTGTTGATGTGTTGTCACAGCTGAGCTGTTCTTCTCTCCTCACATGCAAATCTCCTGTGCTGGCTCGGTGGGTTTGTGGCCTGAGCACGAGGCCCCTGTTCCTCTCCTGGCCTGTGCCCATGTGTTTGATTCCCTGGGTTTTGGGGAGAAAACAGGGACTGGGATCTGGTTCTGTCATTGCCAGGATGGGTTGGAAGGGACATGGGCAGGCAGGGGGCTGTGCCAGGACTGGTGGGTGTTCAGGGGATGGGTTGGAAGGGACATGGGCTGGCAGGGGGCTGTGCCAGGGCTGGTGGGTGTGCAGGGGCTGCACCACTGCCCTCAGCACTGGGGCTGCACCCCGTCTGTGGTGTCGGTGCCGGGGAGATCTGGGGGGACTCTTGGGCTGGGTGGGATGCTGGACATGGCAGCAGGGACCTGTTCTGGGCAATTCTGGAACTTGCTGAGAAACTGCTGCTGTTACATGGTGGAAAAAGCAGTCACAGGCTTGGGTGTGGGCTGGAGAGGTGGGAAGTAGAAAAGCTGAACTGAATGTGATTATTAGTGGTTTTGGTGGGACATGTGATGAGGGGATTCTATGCTGCTGCTCCTTCCTCTTCCTCTTTCCTGCCTGCCCGGGCTTGGGCTCAGGCTCAGCTGGTGACTCACACTGAAACACTGACCTCCACCCCAAACTAATGCTGGGTCCCTCCTGGCTCCGCATCCCGGGGATGAGCTCTGCCACTCCTTGGCCTATTCCTCATGAAGGAAAGGAGATGTTCCTCAAATACTCTCATCTTCTCTCACTTACAGTCTCTGTGGCCTTACTCCTGCACCCTCCCCTCACCAGGAATGGATCCCTCCCTGGCCAGTGCACTTACTTTGAGATTATTATCAGTAAGAAAGTTTTTCAAAAAAATAATGAGGTAATTCCTAAACCAGACTTTATACACTAAAATTCACCCTGCCAGAGCAGTTTGTGCCCCTTCCATCAGATGTTTCCTCAGGAGCTGGGACAGCCTGTCCTGAGGCTCCAGACATGATCTCCAGCCTTTCCTTTCCAGCTCATCAGTGCACCCCTGAGGCTATTTTGGAGTTGCTGAGCCTTTTGATGCATACTTATCCCTGTTGGTCAAATTGCCCTAGGACATGGGCTGGTGCTAGTGCCCTGGGCTGGTGCTAGTGCCCTGGGCTGGTGCTAGTGCCCTGGCACAGCCAGGCTCCCACGTTTCCCTGTGGGTCATTCTGGGATATTTGTCATGGGTGCAGGAGGTTTGCAGGGACGGTGGATCCCATGTGAGCCCACGGAACCAGGCACAGAATTCCATCCTCGGATAATTAAGAGGAACCCACAGGGCAGTGACAGGGCATGCAGAGGATGCCTGTTAGTGCCTTGGCTACAGCAATTTTAAACACGTTTTGTTTGTTCCCGTGTCACCTTTATGTTCTTTAGACCATGCAGGATGCTGGTCCCTCCTCCCAGCCCTCTCCCACCTCTCTCCCCAAGGGTCAGGCAGCTGTGGAGTGCCCATGCTGCTGTGCCTGGCTCCTGAGGAACCAGTGAAAATGGGAAATGACAAAAAACACTTTAAAAGAAAATCAAAACCAACTTGGCCACATTTTGCTTTTCCAAAAAATGATCGTGGGGAAACTTTTTCATAAGCTGGAGCCCCCCCAGCCCCCGAATGAGGCCAGTTTTCATCCCTGTGCCCCTCTGCCCATAAAATGTCTGTAGTTCTGACCCACTGGCAACTTCTGCAGTGACAGAGCACCCTCCCCCAGCTTAGCTCCGTCCTTCTGCAGCTTTAATTCCAGGGATGGAAATTTTCCTGTTTCCTGTAGGTAACAAAATACAGACCCCCCCCTCTAGACAGCAGGATCCTTCTTTGAAGGCCAGAAAGGATGAGCCTGGGTTAGAGAGAGGGTTTTTCTCTGTTGGTGAGCTGCATGGCAGGTGGGAAGTGCAGGGAATGAGCTGGGAAAAGGCCCCTGTGGCCACCTGGTGCCCGCGGTGTTGCCAAGTGTTTCCTTTGTCAGCAAGGAGAGATTGAGACCGACTGTAAAGTTCTAGCTGCATCCTTGGGGTGGTTTGCATGAGATGGAAGGGGCTCAGAGAGAAGTTCCAAGTGTGGTCACTTCCTTGAAATGATAATGAGAGAAGACACTGAAAACTGGCAGAAAGGTTCAGCTGGGCAATGGTTTTGCTTTGGTTGGAGCTTTGTCGTGCAAACTCCTTAAACATGCACAGGAAGGTAATGTTTCCTGCGTCCGAAATTGCCCCTCTGTCCTTCTGGGGCGAACGTGGTGTAAAGGAGCAGGCAGGGGGCTGTGGGAGCCTCTTGGGGCCATGCGATGCTCACGGGCGTTTGTTTTCAAAGCCTGAGAGGTCAAATGGGGAAAAAGCGGTGAGAGGTGTTCGCAGGCCAGTCTGATCACGTTAATTCCTTCTCCCCTTAATGAAGAGCCTCTGAGCCCTGCCCGGAGTGTCCGCAGGGCTTTGAACACCCGCCCGCCCCCGGGAGCGGAGGCGGCAGCGAGCGAGCGCCCAGGCGCGGTGTGGGGCCGGAGCGGGGGTGACTCAGTTTTGGGAGGGTGCAGGTGGAACCCGTGGCTCAGCATCACCTTGACCTCGGCCCCTGGTGACGCCTGACCCCGGGCCGGGGGCTGAGCGGGGTCCCGGGGATGCTGCAGGACGCGGCGGCGGGAGCGGCCCCCGGGCAGAGCGGCTGCCTCGGCCGGAGGCGCGGCCGGGGAGGCTCCGCGGGGCGCGGGGGGAGCGGGCGGAAGGGGCGCGGGCGTTCCCCGCGAGCGGCCCCGGTCCCGGCCGGGCATCCCGGCGGGGGAGGAGCCGCCGCTCCCGCCCGGAGCCGAGCGATGGGCGGCCGGGCCGGGGTCGGGGCCGCGTTGCCCCGCAGGGGCTCCGGGCGCTCCCTGGGGCTGCGGCTCCGCCGCGCCGCGGCCGCGGCTCCGTGCGGGGCGGGACGGCGCGGGCGGGCAGGTGAGTGCGGGGCTCGGGGCTGCGGGGGGCGAGCCCGGTGCGGGGCTGCGGCGAGAGGAGGAGGTCGCGTTTGCTGCTCAGCGAGGGGAAGGGCTGCGGGACTGGCGCGGGGTGGGCTCGGTGCGGATCAACATGGGGGGATGCAAAGGGCACGGCATGGGCAGGGGACGCGGCTGAGGGGCTCAGGCTCTGCTTTCCTTCCAAACCCGAGCGATTTTGGTGGTGTTCTGTTCTGGGCCGTGCCAGGCTGCCCACTGTGTCTGAATGTGGGTGATCCCACTCCCAAAGCCAAGGGGTAACTGTCCTGGACCGACTGGTGAAGCACATCACCCGCCCAAGAGGCCGTCAGGTGAAAAGAACCCCCACTTTTCATCAAAGAAAGGACATTATTTTGTATTTGATCATGTCTTGATGATGTTTGTATCAGTCATCTTGTCAAGGCTGTGAAAATGCTCAAGGAGGTTTTGTTCATTTGGAACTCCAGTGCTAAACTTGGCTTGATGTGGCTTGTAAAGATGCCTGTGATAACAGGGTGTGGGGAACATCTTGAAAGCCATTTCTTTTGGGTTGTGTGAAAGAGGAAACACTGTGGCTCTGGGCTCTGTCAGCTGCAGTGCTCAGTGAAGAATTCCATCTCATACCTGCCCCAAGACTCATGTCGGGGACTCTTTCCTCCCGCTGATAAATGATCCCTTCAGGAATGGCCCAAAACATGCTGGGTGGACAGGGGTTTTTCCTCAGGGATGAGGAGATCAGGTCAGTTTGCCGCAGGCAAGGGGAAAGTGGAGTTTTCCACAGAGCTCCTTCTGCCGGACTCGTGGCAGTGACATTGCTCCCTCAGTGCTGGCACATGGGGCGACCTGTAGCCAGGGGCTGTTGGCCCCACGGGACAGGGGACAGAGAGGGCAGGAGGTTGTTTTGGGATGATCCACTTGAGAACAGGGAGCTCGTGGATCCTCTCCGGGGGTCTTCTGAAGGGTCCATGGCCGCTCCCAGAAGACAACCGTGCTGGTAAGATTTTCAAGAGATTGCTCAGCATCCTGTCTCTTTTCACTTGTATTGGAAACCCTGTGCATGCTTCCGAGGCCAGACCAGATTGGAAAACCCCGTCCTTAGAGCTGCAAACCAGCGCCGTTATCTCTGGGACCACAGACTGCTTGGTTTGCCACGTGCCCCTGGAGCAGCTGTGAGCCCCTCATTTTCCCCCCATGTGCCCCCAAGTGCAGGCACGATGTCATCACCTCAGCCTGCTGCAGCAAAGTCCACATGTGAGCTGGGGACCAGGGTCCTCCCTGTGCCCTCGGTGGGACTGTGTGCAGGGAGGGCCAATCCCCAGCCCCACGATGTGGCAGGAGGAGGCTCTGGCATGTGTGGGTGAGGCAGGAACAGCTGGGTCATGGAGCTGGTTGCTCATCGCTCGCCAGCGTTTTGCCTTCCAGCAGCTGGGGACTTTCTGCCCTGCTTCAGCAGTGGCCACATAATCCGGATTCCTTGGATAAATTCCTGCTGTTTCTCAGAGATCTGTGGCTGCTGTTTTAATTACCCGGAGCTCCAGGCCAGACACAGGACCCTTGTTGCAGAAACTCAGCTCCCATGAATGATGCTGTTGTGTGTGTCTCTGAGCTTCTCTTTTCCTCCCTCTCACCCTCCTCCCTTGGAAGCCAGGGAATTCAGTGCTGGTGAGATCCCTCCTGCTGTACTTGTGCAGCTGGTGACATGGCTCCAGCTGCCATTTCGGGTGCCTTTTTCCTCTCCTAAACAAGGATATTGAAGCCATCCTCCTCCTCTCGGCTGGAGCTGGCTTTCCCACTTCCCTCTGGTGTGAGGCTCAGTGCTGAGGCTGGCACTGGAGCATCCCTGGGGCCCTGGAAGCTCCAGGCAGATGGGGCAGAGGCACTTTCTGGGTTCTCTGTGCTGCAGATTCATCACTTGCAGGGGTGTCAGGGATGTCCTATGGGCCTAGGGCTCCTTGTGGTGTTTGCTGGGT